CAGGGGCCATTAGCTGCGATCCCAGTCCAAGCATGTGGCTGTCCTAGCACATCGTCTTTTTCCCTGTGCGCTGCGCCTGGCCTCTATCAAGGCTGTGGGGGTTTAGGTTGTAGGGTTTAGGGCCAGTTTAGGGTTTAGGGTTTAGGGTTTAGGGTTTAGAGTTTAGGGTTTAGGGTTTAGGGTTCAGGGTTTACTGCGTGAAAGGCTCTGGCAAGACGAGGGCGAAGCATGATCGTGGGTTCGCATTTGTGGGGTCTTGAGGCACTTCTCTGGAACATACTTTTCAGCCCCCTAAACCCTAAACCCTAAACCCTAAACCCTAAACCCTGAACCCTGAACCCTGAACCTTAAACCCTAAACCCTAAACCCTAAACCCTAAACCCTAAACCCTAAACCCTAAACCCTAAACCCTAAACCCTAAACCCTAAACGCTAAACCCTAAACCCTAAACCCTAAACCCTATCCTCCCAACCCTACCTGCAACATCCAACATCTTCGTCGCGCGGTGTGCTGCACTCTAAGCCCAACATACCCATGTTCACGGAGCTTGAACTGATGTGGGTATTCCCAAGATAGGGTCAGCCTAGCATACCCCCAAGGCACGATAGTCCTTGTTGGAGGAACCCCCCCCCCCCCCCAACAAAAGGGTTCACCTATTTTTTTCCGTAACCCGCATGCCTTTACACTAAACCCTAAACCCTAAACCCTAAACCCTAAACCCTAAACCCTAAACCCTAAACCCTAACCCCCAAGTCCTAAGCCCTAAACCCTAAACCCTAAACCCTAAGCCTCTTACCTGAAGGTCCAGCTCCCAAATCTTTGCCTTGATGGGGTGCGCCACGGCTGCTCTTGCAGACCTGCGAGAGCCATGCTTCAAGCAAGCGGAGAAAAGAGTCGGAAGCCCTAAACCCTAAACTAAACCCTAAACCCTAGACCCTAAGCCCTAAACCCTAGCCCTAAACCCTAGACCCTAAACCCTAAACCCTAACCCCTAAGCGTCCGGGAGCTTCGTTGCCTTCAGGGCTTTTGGGCTGCCGTTTCGGCGGGCGTCGACTCATGACGGTTTATCTGTGTGGCATTTCATGAAGGTTTTACTTTCACATATGCTGGCCCAGCTACGATGCAAACCACGGGGCTTATCTGTCCCATACAACTGCCAGACCTGTTTAATATAAGGGCCTGAAGAATGAGAATAGGGTCTTGCTGGGGTGTTTTTTAAAATTACAAGCGGCCACAAGGGATTACTCTGAGTAATTATTCGAATTCCGGCCCCTATATTACAGCCCCCACCCTCACCCCAGGTGCTCACACGCCAGCGCATCCTCGGACATCAGCCGTACCATGGACTGCACCCAGCTCACGTGATGCCTGTACAGCCCAAACTCTACACTCTAAAACTTTACCTTGAATCCTAAACCCTAAACCCTATAAACCCTAAACCCTAAACCCTAAACCGTAAAACCCTAAACCCTAAACCCGAAAGCCTAAACCCTAAACCCTAAACCCTAAACCCTAGCACTCAACCGCGTGCGCATGCCCGTGCAGCCATGTCGGCCGATCCTTCCATGCCGGAGGCAAAGAAGCGAAAGGTTGCGGAGGCGTGCAGATTTTAAGACAGGCGATGCGATTTAGGGTTTAGGGTTTAGGGCTTAGGGTTTAGGGTTTAGGGTTTAGGGTTTAGGGTTTAGGGTTCAGGGTTCAGGGTTTAGGGTTTAGGGTTTAGGGTTTAGGGTTTAGGGTTTAGGGTTCAGGGTTTAGGGTTTAGGAGCCGGAGCAGGCCCTTATTCCCTTCTTTAAGTGTTGAGGTTCTCTTACAAGTCCCTGTAAACCCAGAAGGGCACCCTTTTTATTCCTAAACTTCTCTTGGTCTGGTCAGCTAGATCGCAGGTTGCACTAATCCTGAATAAACCCTAAACCCTCGGGGTTTAGGGTTCAGGGTTTAGGGTTTAGGGTGTAGGGATGGACCTGGCAAAATGTGACATAGTCTGGTATAGCGCATTTGAATACCCCCAATGTCATATCAGAATAGCTTGTACAAGCGTTAAATATATTCTAGAACAAGAGAGCATAGCAGTTATCACATACTGCAAACCCTAAACCCTAAACCTTAAACCCTAAACCCTAAACCCTGAACCAGTACAAATAGCATGGGAGCATGGTGCGGAGAGCTTACTAAAGTCCGGTCTAGTCCAGTCGAATCTAGCAGCACAGCATAGCATAGAAGCCCTAAACCCTAAACCCTAAACCCTAAACCCTAAACCCTAAACCCTAAACCCTAAACCCTAAGAGTTATTGCTGCCGGTCATCCTCCAGTCTGGCAAACGGGATGTGTGCTTCGGAGGCCGACCATCTAGTGCTTCGAGCCGATAGCTCGCTAAGCGCAAGCTTGTCAAATATCATAAGATCCTGAACCGCTATTTGGGGTTTAGGGTTTAGGGTTCAGGGTTTAGGGTTTAGGGTTTAGGGTTTAGGGTTTAGGATTCTATGAATGATATGAACTCGTCAAGAGATTTTGGTTTCAGGATTTAGTAGGGTTTAGGGTTCAGGGTTCAGGGTTTAGGGTTTAGGCATTGCATTGATTTAAAGTCTGCCCTGGCCGGATTCATCCGGAGCAGGAGAAGTGGCTTTGTGCTGTGTGCGGACACGAAATGGATGCGCGCCCTGGCAAATACTTGCATTGCGGGCGTCCGATGGTTTTTAGGGTCTAGGGTTTAGGGTTTAGGGTTTTCCTGGGCGGGTTAGGGCTGTGATTGTGTCCTGCTTCTCAGAGGCCGGGGGGCTCGGCACGTGCTTAGAAAGGAGGGGCATGCCATGTGTTGGGTTCACGGAAGGCTTCTTGCTTGCTGGAAGCTAGAAAGCCCACATACCAACGCTAACCCAGGCATATGAAGATGTTGTGGGGGGGGGGGGGGGGGGCGGAATGCGTAACACACCCTAAACCCTAAACCCTAAACCCGAGGCTTTACCGAGCTCCAGGATGCTGTCGGGTTCTGTAAAGCATAAATTCGTATTGGTGAAGTGTGGAGAGCGGCAGCAATTCAGTCTCAGGAAATCCGCTGGACGACGTGCACACATGGTACGTCGTCACAAGGACCTGAAGAAGGGTCCAGGGTCTAGGGTTTAGGGTTTAGGGTTCAGGGTTTAGGGTTTAGGGTGTGTTGGGTAACCTTGTGAGAACATAGGGGCCCTTTTGCACGGTTGATGGCACTGGAACCACAGTGTTGTTACCTCGGGAAATGAGGCTCCACTGGCCTGCTGTGCATATGTCATACCCGAAACCCGAAACCCGAACCCGAAACCTGAAACCCTAACCCTAAACCCGAAACCCTAAACCCTAAACCCTAAACCCTAAACCCTACTAAACCCTACTAAACCCTAAACCCTAAACCCTAAACCCTAAACCCTAAACCCTAAACCCTAAACCCTAAACCCTAAACCCTAAACCCGAACTTTGCGAGAACTGATTTTGCCTGCAAGGAGCTGTGTATACTGCCTTGCGCCGCGAAGTGCTCCTCAGCTTTGTGTTGTGCTTCGTTTGGGTGGGGGGGGGCGGGGGCGGGGGTTTAGGGTTTAGGGTTTAGGGTTTAGGTTCAGGGTTCAGGGTTTAGGCCTGAACCCCTTAAACCCTTGAAACCCTGAACACCCCTCACTAAACCACTAAAAACCCCTAAAGCCTCGAGGGCACGTGGTCCGTCTGCAGGTCTGCCAGATCCGGTTGACACTTCGTAAAAGTGTAACAGCGTTTCGGGTTCGGGCTTAGGGTTTAGGGTTTAGGGCTTAGGGCTTAGGGCTTAGGGCTTAGGGCTTAGGGCTTAGGGCTTAGGGCTTAGGGCTTAGGGCTTAGGGCTTAGGGCTTAGGGCTTAGGGTTTAGGGTTTAGGGTTTAGTAAGGTTTAGTAGGGTTTAGGGTTTAGGTTCTCTTTCGGTCCTTGGGGACTTCTTTTTTTTTTTTGGGGGGGGGGGCTTTAGGTTGGGACGTTCCCCCTTAAACTAGCAGTCCCTAATTGGGATTCTCATCGGGGTACTAGAATCCCTATTAAGGACTGTTAGTATAAGGGGGAACATCCCAAGGTTTAGGAGTTCAGGCTTGCCTCGTGTTAGTATTATATTATGTGGGGGGGGGGGGGGGGGGACATCCCATGTAGGATTGCCTCGCACGACGATGGCCCATGAGACTACCTCATGCTGCCTGCAGCCAAGGTAAACATGGCTGCAAGACTTGTGCCCCTTGGCCTGGCGTAACCTATATCCCCCTTGAGAATTTTTTGTTTATGTTTATATAAAACCCAAGAGGATAGTAAACAAAAAAGTTGTTATTAGGGTTCTGAGGGGAGTCTAGTAACCTCAACTTCGTAGCTGAATGTGGATGCTGTAATCCCCTGTGGAACCAAAAACGTGCATTTTTTTTTTTTTTTTGGGGGGGGGGGGGGGGGGCGTATGAACCCAGCAACTAAGTCAATCATGTACAGAACCCAGCAACTAAGTCAATCATGTACAGAACTTCAGGTTTCGGGTTACCCGGGTTATAGGGTGAGTGGGATCATGACTCATCTTTGAGGCTTTGTGCCCCGTGGTGAGGCCCTTCGCATCCCAGATAGGGCCGTATCCAAACATTCTCCTGCACTTGGGGTCCTATAGTGACTCAGGCGCTATAGCAACGGCCTCCGCGGTCGAACGGCCCTAACTAAGCCCCAATTCCCTAAGTTTTGCCCAGACTCAGAGCAATCTCTCTGAGCCGCCTGCAAGGTTCCAGCTGTTTGAGAGAGATTCCAGGAGTAGGGCGTTGACACTGTTTACCGAGGAAGGGAATCAGAAGTTAACGCAGCAGCCAGGGTTTCCGAGTCTGGGTTCATCTCCTGGCTGTGTTTCTGCAGCCATAGACCATCATGGGACTCATGGGACTTGGGGCTGTGGTGACGGCTGTCCTTGCTGGGTGTGGCTCATGGATGCTCCCGGGCTTACTATGAGGACAACGCCGGCCACTTCTACACCGGGCGTACCATGGATTGGCAGGAGCCGACCAAGGCCAAAGTTTGGGCCTTTCCGCAGGGCATGAAGAGGGACGGGGGCGTCGCCGGCTCGCTTGAGTGGACCTCCAAGTGGAGTTCCGTGGTGACGTCCTTCTACGACGTGGGGTCCGTGGATGGCATCAACGAGAAGGGCTTGGTCGGCAGCCTTCTTTACCTGGTCGAGACTGATTACGGTTCCCAGAAGCGCAGCGATCAGAAGAAAATGTCCATTGGCGCCTGGCTGCAGTACGTTGTCGACAACTTTGCCACTGTTCCAGAAGCCGTCGCCGCCCTGCAGGCGGATGACATCAACATCATCTCACCGACTCTTCCCAGTGGAAGGTCAGCCAGCGGACACCTCGCCATTTCTGATGAGCCAATGGCTCTGCAATCCTTGAGTACATAGCTGGGCGCCTGATAATCCACAATGGTTCCCAGTATAAAGTGATGACCAACTCGCCACCATACGTTCACAAGTTCACTTCTTACCACCTTCATTCACTAGTTGCAGCAGCTAGCGCTGACGGCATACTGGCAAGAGATTGGTGGGAGCACCTTCCTCCCAGGAACGCATCGAGCAGCAGACCGCTTCGCACGCTTGAGCTACAACCTTCATGCTGTTCCCAAGGCTCCTTGCCTGTTAGCTGCCTCAGATCCCACCTGCTGAAAGTCGATCCAGTTGTTGCCAGCTGAGGCGAGCTCGAGCATTCTTGCCGTGGCCACTGTCTTTTCGCTGATACGGCACGTGTCCGTGCCACTGGGTGTGACACACCCAAATGAACCAAATTTGGCCACCACGCAGAGCCTCAGTTGCTAGGAAGATCTTTCGTCCAATAGGTTTTGCACTGCCATGTTTTTGTTTTGTGCGACTACTCCGTATACACAGGCTACGAATACTGATTCCGACAGCTATGAACATTTGCATGAATTCCAAGAGAGAGAGAGAGAGTCAACGATCCAGGTTCCTGTTTCCACATAAACCAAAAAGTGTGTGTGATAGCCGAGGTGGCGCAGTGTCGCCGACCACAATGGAGGCTTTTACTACTTCGAGTCCGTCACAAGTCCCAGCGTCTTCTGGGTGAACTTGAACAGCATCGACTTCACAGGAGGAGCGAAGCGCCTACCCTGGCCAGAGGAGGACTTGGCCGGAGATGTCTCACAAAAGTTTGTGCCTACCGAGCCCTTTCCGTTCCTCCGCCCGGGCGGGCACGCCAGCCACTCTGACTTGTAAGCGCCAGCCTTGCAAGGATGTTGCGCGCAATCACCATCGTTTGAGCGGCTACCAAAGAGGTTGCCAGAGCAGGGATGCCTCCATGCGTTCTGGAAAATTGCCAGGAAACCAACAGGCCCTGGCAGCCATGCGTGGGATACGGGGGTGCATCGGGGGACTGCTGTTGCAACTGGATGCCTCTCGAAGGGTTTAGTGTTTAGGGTTTAGGGTTTAGGGGTAGTTTCATGGGCCTTTAATATGGTCCCTAACCTCCCTCTAAAGGGTTTTGATGTATGGGCCCTTAATTTGTATAGGGTATACAAGGGGGTCTAGAAGGGGTACCCTTTTCACGGCCCATACTCAGGGACCATGAAACCACCCTTAGAACCCTAGCCGTAAACCCTAAACCCTAAACCCTAAACCCTAAACCCTTAGGAAACGGAGCCCACTGAGGTTCCCGACTCGACCCTCAGCAACGGCGTCAATGCGAACCAGGATGGCGTTCCTTCGGAGCCTGCCGAGGCGGAGGCAAAAGTTGCTCTCGGGCCTCATATTGAAGACGTAGGGTTTAGGGTTTAAGGTTTAGGGTTTAGGGTTGTGGGTTTAGGGCGTTTTCCGCAAGCTCGAAATGGCCCAATTAAATGAAGATTCTTGGGATCTTTTTTGTGCTCGGGACTCGCAATATGGGGCTAGGCGTCGAAGGTCGCAAGGTCCTGCGTGACCTGGCGGCTTTGAGCAGCATGCCAGGATGGACTTCTATAGCTCCTATAGACGGATTGTTACACGGATTCTCCTAAACCCCTAAACGCTAGACCCGAAACCCCAAACCCTAAACCAGTAGTAGCTTGCCGCAGTTTGGTTTGTTGGGTCCGACCCGAACTGTGGATGCATCCGTCTTCGAACTGGCGCGCGTTCCTGTCACAGATTTCAGAGGTCTAAGTACCTTGGGATCCAATTGGGCCCGAAAGATGTTCTCAGAGGGTTTCGGATTTAGGGTAGCCCTCCCCCTTTTAGGTTGAAGTCCCTTGCTTATTGCTTATGGGTTAACCCTAAACCCTAAACCCTAAACCCTAAGCCCTAAACCCTAAACCCTAAACCCTAAACCCTAAGCCCTAAACCCTAAACCCTAAACCCCAAACCCTGCATGGATCTTTTTGGCAGTACAAAGCGCGCTATAGGGTTCAGCTGCCCTGACCATGGCGCAGGCCCCGGCGGCATCGAGTCCGGCCAAAGATCATGGCGGAGAGGCGCAGATGCCAGGAGAGCTTCGGCAAGCCAAAATATGAATATGGATATTTTTTCTATTGAAGAATGTATGCTCTATTTGCTTGCATGTATAGGTTGCATGTGTTTTGTGTTTCGAAACCATGTCCATATACACTGGAGTTCATAGAATCGAAGTATATAGTGTATGTATGTGTGTATGTATGTGTGTATGCATTTGTGTATGTATGTATATATGTGCCTAATATGGTGTATGCGCATACTACAAGAAGAGAATGTGTAGCACGATTCTTTACCCGAGATAGAGTGCGACATACTGCAGCAAAATACAATATAATACCATGTGAAACAGTACATTGCTCTCGTCGCTGACAGCGTCAAGGTGCACTCGAGTATGTTCTGTTTTTGGCAGCCTGCTGGGCAGGGTTCCGAACTGGATTGGCTCTGCTAGGACTCAATACCACAAGTTCTCGTAGATTCCAGCGCCTTCTATGATCCCTAAGCACCCAGAGGGCTGTCTATCAGGGTGAAAGCTCGAGAGGGTTTCTTGGTAGCCCAGTGGTACCCTTTACTCTTTTTTTCGGTTATGGATTCCCTTCTAAAGTAACCACCCCAACAAAGGGTGCCCTTAGAATAACATGGTTGCTGGGCTGCTAAGGTTTAGAGTTTACGGTTTATGGTTCAGGGTTTAAGGGCAGAGATATGCCGTGAATCTACTTGGAGTGCGGGAGGGCAGCGGAACTTGGCCCTCCAATCTCCAATCCCGTCCTGCCTTCGGACGGTTTAGGGCTTACGGCTTGGGGTCTGGGGTTTAGGGTTTAGGGTTCAGGATTTAGGGTTTAGAGATTGGGGTTTAGGGTTCAGGGTTTAGGCTTTAGGGTTTAGGGTTTAGGGTTTAGGGTTTAGGGTTTAGGGTTTAGGGTTTAGAGGCAACTGGGGTGCAGTTTGTTTTGGGGTTTAGGGCGGGTGGCCGTGGCCTTGCTATAGGCAGTCAACTCACCGCATTGAACTCCAGGGCTACTGACCTTTCGTGTTTAGGATTTAGGGTTTAGGGTTTAGGGTTTAGGGTTTAGGGCCTTCAGCAAGAGGAGGAAGCGACGCCGTGCCTGCGAGCAGCAATGGTTCTGCTGCCACGCCGCCGAAAAGGCCCCCCGTGCCAAGGAGGCCGTTCCGCAGGTTTAGGGTTTAGGATTTAGGGTTTAGGGTTTAGGGTTTAGAGTCTGTTCTTTGGAACGCAGGAGTTTGGTTGAGGTCGAGGTTTCAGGGAGAAGTTCATCCTTCAGCGCGCTCACTGTTGGCCAGGCCCCTTGCGGAACAAAAAAGTGCATGTGACAGTCGAACACGGAATGCAAAACTCAGAATAGCCTGGCACAAGACTTTTCAACGCAGTTTTCCATGTAAATTCCAGACGTTTTACTTTGGAATGATGCCAGCAGCACCGTCCCAGAACTTGATTCCGGAGTTGGAATTCGTTGTAGTGAGTGTTTCCTGCGCTGCGCAATCTGAATACTTAGAACACTAGTCACGGCGCCAGCGGACCAAAATCCACTTGTCCGGGTGTCCCAGAACCCACCAAGAATCCCCTTCTCACTTTGTGGTACTTTACTGTAAATTTAGATCTTTACCTTTTTGGGTTTATTGGGTTTCTTATTAAGGCAGCTCAAAAGTTCGCAAGATCACCCAAGGCCAAGTCCGGACGGTAGACTCGCACGCATGCTTTTGCACAAGCAAAGGTTTCGAGGGTTTGGGTTTAGGGGTTAAGGTTTAGGGTTATAAGGTCTATATGTCAATCAACTTTATGGAAAACAAGCAGAGGGAGTTGAACGAGAGAACGCCCGCAGGAACCTCGCTAACAGAAAGCTTGGCCAAACAGACCCCTTAAACCTTGAGCCTGGACAGCTTGGGGGGTTAGGGAGGGTTGAGGGTTTAAGGTTCAGGGTTTAGGGTTTAGGTTTTAGGGTTCAGGGTTCAGGGGTTAGGGTTACAACTTTGGGAAGTCTGTGAGAAGGTCCTTGTAGTCTAGTGCACAAGCTCTCATGTTTTTGCAACATCCCCCCCACTCCCTAAACCTTAAGCCCTAAGCCCTAATTACCTTTGTGGTACTTTACTGTAACTTTAGATCCTTACCTGTTTTGGGTTCATTGGGTTTCTTATTAAGGCAGCTAAAAGTTTAATTTATATCTACCCTCCTGAGTGCAGCCAAGTTACATGCTCGACAGGTCTGGCCTGCCGCTAGGATTCTGAGTAGACGGCCTCATATCCCCTACCCAGACAGCCTAGACGCCACTGATGAACTGCCAGCCCAAAACCCCAAACCCCAAACCCCAAACCCCAAACCCCAAACCCGAAACCCGAAACCCGAAACCCTAAACCCTAAACCCTAAACCCCACAAACCCAAAACCCCAAAAACCTGGACTGGGCTGTGAACGCCTTTCCGCCAGAAAGTCATCGTTCGATAGGACCGGGGGCGGAGCCCCTTGCCAGCTGACTTACAGTGACTACGTTTAGGGTTTATGGTGTAGGGTTTAGGATTTAGGGTTCAGGGGTTTAGGGTTTAGCGTTCAGGGATTTAGGATTTAGGGTTTAGGGTTTAGGGTTTAGGGTTTCAGGTGTAGGGTTTAGGATTTAGGGTTCACGGGCATTGTAGACAGTTGCGAGTGGTGGTCGACTTGAGCTCACACTAGTTACACAAATGGTGCATGTTTCGCAGGTAGGCAAAGAATGCTGTTGCACTGCTAGAGCCCCATTTGATCATGACCCTAAGGCGTCCATGAGAGTCCCAGCAGACGTAGCCTCAGTAAACCCTAAACCCTAAATCCAAAACCCCAAACCCTGAACCCCAAACCCTGAACCCTAAACCCTGAACCCGGAACCTTCAACGCCATGTCGGCTGAACCTTATAAGAACCCAGTTGAAGCTTCTGTGCAGGCGGCTGAAGAAGGCACGTGGGCCTCTCCCACCGCATTCCCAAAGAGTCCATCTCCACCGCAGTTTAGGGTTTGGAGTTGGGGTTTAGGGTTTAGGGTTTAGGGTTTAGGGTTTAGGGTTTAGGGTTTAGGGTTTAGGGTTTAGGGTTTAGGGTTTAGGGTTTAGGGTTTAGGGTTTAGGGTTTAGGGTTTAGGGTTTAGGGTGCTTGGAGCCCCAAGCCCTAAACCCCAAACCCAGGCTAAATGGGGTGTTGGGGTTCCTTGTTCCAAAATCGCTCAGGTCTGGTGGGAGATGTACATAGCTACACATGTATATACGTGTGTATATATATATACACAGGCATGCACGTGTGCATATATGCAAATATAAGTGCACCTCTACAGTTTCTCTCTGAACACGCCCTTGGCTTTCACTGTCACGATTCTGTTGCAACGGCTTGGTCTCAATAGCGGTTTAGGGTTTAGGGTTTAGGGTTTAGGGTTTAGGGTTTAGGGTTTAGGGTTTAGGGCGAAGCCTCCGCAGGTGAAGAAGAAGCTCAAAGCGGCGCGGCAGGAGCGAGCTTTCGGGATGGTGGGGGCGCTGCCTTTTTTCTCGCTGGTTGCAGGTGCCAAGGATTTTTTTCTGGCTTTCTTGGGCTACAACTGCAAGGGTATCTAGGTTTGGGTGCCACGGATTTAGTTCGGCTTTCTGGGGGTTTTTAAACTGTAAGTGTAGCTAGGTTTGGAGCACCTCAGGTGATTCTTCTTCCAAGCCCAACTTGATCCATAATAGGAAGACCCGTATCCGCACCCCAGCACTTGGCCCGCCACATCCGACTGAACCCTAAACGCTAAGCCCTAACCCGAAACCCTGAACCCTGAACCCTAAACCCTGAACAACCCTAAACCCTAAGCCCTAAACCCTAAACCCTCAAGCCCAAACCCTAAACCCTAAGCCCTGAACCCTAAACCCTGAACAACCCTAAACCCTAAGCCCTAAACCCTCAAGCCCAAACCCTAAACCCTAAACCCTAAACCCTAAATCCTAAACCCTAAACCCTAAACCCTAGAACCCAGCCTAAACCCGTGACGTCGCAGTTGGTCCATGTGGAGATTCAACCCCACAAGCAACTACGAAACGCCTGTAAGAAACCAACTTGGGACGTGACTTCTAGTTCAGGGTTTAGGGTTTAGGGTTTAGGGTTTAGGGTTCAGGGTTTAGGGATTGGGGTTCAGGGTTCAGGGTTCAGGGTTTAGGGTTTAGGATTTAGGGTTCAGGGTTTACAGTAGGTCTTAGGGTTAGTTGCTGAATCCTCCCCACAGACAGGACGCCGGCGTGCCACTGGCCGTACCGACGGAGGTCCGGTTCTTTTCTGTGCATGCAGGTCTGAGTGTTGCAACCTTTTGTCGTAGGGTGGGAGCTCATCACAACATTCTGGGGCTCCTTAAGTTCATTACGGTACATAAACCCTAAACACTAAACCCTAAACCGTAAACCCTAAACCGTAAACCCTAAACCCTGGACCCTAAACCCTAAACCCAATTTTAGCTTCTTATTGGAAGCCAAAGCCATATACTTAGAGCTTTCCAGAATACCTTGATAGACGGTCATGTATGGCATCTGCTTTTTGCAATGTTGGTCTCGTACCGCCCTGGGTAGGTGTGGATGAGGTCTTGACTGCAGAGATCTTGTTCAGGGCCATGTCACATAAGTTTGACAGCACACGGCTTTTTTCCTGCGATGTTTTTGTGAAGAATGACAGGTTTTATTCCGTAATTTGTGTGCCTCATGCAACTATCATCTGCAGTGAGGTTTCTGGGAGCCTTTTCAGCCTTCAACTTTTTTCTCTTTTTTCCGTCCTGGCTGCGTGTTGCTGTTTTGTGGAAGTCCTCGGAGCCGGTTTCTTTGCGACAAGAGCATGGCGGGAGGGTTGCCAGTGTTCGCCAAGGTTTAGGGTTTAGGGTTTAGGGTTTAGGGTTTAGGGTTTAGGGTTTAGGATTTAGGGCTTAGGGTTTAGGGTTTAGGGTTTAGGGTTTCAACCACTGGAGAAATTCAGGGCACGCAGCTCCCAGACTTGCAACGACCAGATGATGTAAAGTGTTCACTCCCCTGAAGACAAAGCCTAAACTGGGCTTCAACCCTTAGCCTAATGAGCCCCCTAACCTGACACCGGAAACCCCAAACCCTAAACCCCAAACCCCAAACCCTAAACCCTAAACCCTAAACCCTAAGCTCTTGAGGAGCAGCCGGACGTGCCAGAGGATCACCCGAGTCGCGCGAAAGGCGTCGTCCAGGTCGCATGGTCATCATGACGAGTTTTAGGGTTGAGGGTTTAGGGTTTAGGCCCTCCCTAAGCCCTAAACCCTAAACCCTAAACCCTAAACCCTAAACCCCTTCCTGGGCTTCAGGAATACTATTCGGAGGGCTTTAAGTGGGTCGGGTGCTCTCTGCCAGCGCCAGAGTTAGTAGGAGCTTGGTGGGGTTTGGGCTGTAGGCTTGGGATGCAAGCGAAGTTTGGGGTTTAGGGTTTAGGGTTCAGGGTTTAGGGTTTAGGGTTTAGGGTTTAGGGTTTAGGGTTTAGGGTTTAGGGTTTAGGGTTTAGGGTTTAGGGTTTAGAGAGAGAGAGAGAGAGCCAAACAATTTAAAAAAACCGATCAAACCCGACCCGTGCCCGCAACTCGCGCACCCAGTCGTTCAAGCAGAAGGGCGGCCTGCATCCTGGCGAGATGAGCTCCTGACATGCTAGGGTTTAGGGTTTAGGGTTTAGGGTTGTTTAGGGTTTAGGGTTTAGGGATTCTTGGGTTTTTTGGAAGATCTTTCACCTGGTTCAAGGCCCCATCGGGCTGAAAGAGGATGACATATCTACTACAGCAGTAGGAACAAGAGTAGCAACAATGAACTCAAGCCATGCTCTGTGCCGTATAACGAGGATACTGCGTTATTCACTGCAGACGCCGAACGTGACAACTCCGTTGTTGAGTTCCTTAACAAGAGCCCTAGACCCTAAACCCTAGACCCCAGACCCTAAACCCTAAACCCTAAACCGGGCAATGCTCATGGGTTCAAGTGTGCGTGCGGTCTTAGGTTTAGGGTCCAGGGTTCAGGGTTTAGGGAACGAGGTTGAATTTGGTTTGCTGTCCTGGCAGCTCAATGCAAAAGGGATAGTGCACACGTTGGGTGCCGAGTCGGCCAGTCAACATGAATAATCAATGTGTGACGCTTTGAAGCAGGTTTAGGGTTTAGGGTTTAGGGTTTAGGGTTTAGGGTTTAGGGTTTAGGGTTTAGGGTTTAGGGTTTAGGGTTTAGGGTTTAGGGTTTCTCATTGAACAGAGGCGCCGGCACTGGGACAGATGAGGTATTCTTTGAACAATGACAGAGTCAGGTACATTTGTGCTTGCAACTGCGAGATCTGTATCAACAGTCAGTAGTAGAGCCTCCTATTTGTCCTTCTGGTTCTTCCTGTGAGAAGGAATACGGAGCCTTGTATGTAGGGTACCCGAAAAGCAACCCGACTTCCTCTAAATCCCAAAACAAAGCCCTAAACCCTAAACCCTAAACCCTAAACCCTAAACCCTAAACCCTAAACCCTAAACCGCCCAAGAAGTCGGAGAGACCTTTGACCTCATCCCAGGCGCACGTTCTTCTTCAGGTACCAGGGTGTCAGATTCCAGGCGGGAGTTTGGGCTTTAGAGTCGAGGGTTACCGTTCTCTCATGTCGTTTCATGCACTGCATACACGTAAGCGCTATCAACCCGAAGCATCGTGATTCAAAGACTCCAGTTCCTCTGCTGCAGGGTTGAGGTCCCTAAACCCTAAACCCTAAACCCTAAACCCTATACCCTAAACCCTAAACCCTAAACCCTAAACCGGTGTCGGATTTGGGGTTTAGGACATTCTGGGCTTGATTGGTTTGGTCTTGCCCCCCCCCCCCCCCCCCCAATAACAGCAAGTCGACTGACACTGAGGTTGAGGGCTTATAGGGGACTTCAGGGTTCAGGGGTTTAGGGTTTAGGGTTTAGACTTTAGGGTTTAGGGTTTGGGGTTTAGGGCTTTTTCTCAGGTGACGTCAAGACGCGCCGGCGGAATCCAGAATGCCTCCAGGATCATCCGCCTGTGCTACGTGGCACGTCAGCAAATCCCAAACCCTTTGGGGTTTGGGGTGTAGGGTTTAGGGTTTAGGGTTTAAGGTTTGGGGTTTGGGGTTTAGGGTTTTGGGGGGTTTTGGGTTTGGGGTTTAGAGTTTCTGGATTCTGGGTTTTGGAGTACTATACTTTAATACTTCTTTTTGATCTGGGTTCCTATTATAGCTACTTCTACCTTAAAAAGTGTTTACTTCTTTTCCGGGGTCTACTCCGAAGTAGGAAACTTCAAGCACTAAACCCAGAGCCCCGCAAGACCCCAGAGTCTCCACGCGAAGCCCTGTAATCCCGAAGTTGGAAGCCCAAACCCTCAACCCTAGACCCTAAACCCAAAACCTAGACCCTCAACCCTCAACCCTCAACCCTCAACCCTCAACCCTCAACCCTCAACCCTCAACCCTCAACCCTCAACCCTCAACCCTCAAGCCCAAACCCAAACCCAGAGTAGGATACAAAGGTAGACGCCTTTTCAGTCAAGCTGCCACACCCCTTTCCGTAGTACAGCACCGTTGTATGCGGATTCAGCACGGACCCCCGAATGTAGACAACTACCCAGATTCTCAGAAAAGGAGCCATCTTGCGTCCAGGATTCCTGGGGCTTTAGGGTTTAGGGTTTAGGGTTTAGGGTTAGATGAGTTTTGCATTGGTAGCTACGTTTCGGGATCCAAGATTGCCAAGATTGCTCCCAGAGAAACTGCTTCTGGGTGCAATCTTGGAACTACCCTCTGTGGATCCGCTTTTAACGGTTAGGGTTTAGGGTTTAGGGTAACCACCCTAAACCCTCAACCCTGCACCCCAAACCCTAAACCCTAACCAAAGCCTCATCAAATCAGAGCAACGGCAGTCGTCTTGGGAGAACTCAAGATGGGTGGCAGGTGACGAGTTGAATTGGACCGGTCGTGCTTGAAAGATTTGGTGAGAGAGATGGTTGGTTGAATCTGGCTTGACGGAGTCTTTTGTTCGTTGGGAGTGAGGCGGGGAGGGGGGTTTCTACATATACATATATATATATATGCAAATTGTACATTCAACATAAACATAAACAAATTCACATACAAAACGTGGGACCGTTTGTGTGCGCCTCCTCCGTATTTGTCTTCAGTGCGTTTGTTCGTTTCTTTCACGTCAAGTCTCGAGTACGTACACATACACATATACACATATACACATATACACATATACGACATATGTGCAAACCGTATAGGTTTGGAGGTAAAATGAGTCCGCTGCGTTTTTGTTGCTTTCTGTTTCACTTGACATGCAACTATGTCTTCCGCATCTTGAATCTATGCTCACTTGTGCCATAGTTATATGTGCTCGAAGTATTTCGACTATTTTGTCGTAGCAAAAGAGGCTTGCCATGGCAAGTTTTGTAGGGGATGAGGGTGGGCTGGATGGGACACTCACCTTCGACGAGGAAGTAATTATGTAATAATTAATTAAATAATAATTAATGAATAATTAGTTAATAACGACAAAATGATTTAATAATTAAATAAATAATTAATCAATAATATATTATAAATTAATTAATCGTGG